TGTTTCCTCCATCAGAGAAATTTACTTCCTCTAATAATTCAGACCGTGTAAGTTACTGGAAAAACTAAGTTATTTCTAATTTAAAACTTGCAACATCATATTACTGCAACGCTAAACTCAAAACAGCAAACGGTCTCTCTCTACGAACATAAGTTTTCATAGTTCCCAGTACAGGATAACCATAGACATATACACCACAAGGACATCAGTATTAAGACACCAACAGATGGTAGTGTCCCACATTCCTCTCTCACTCAATTACTTTCTTTGAAGGCCGAGAAACATACTCAGTACCAAGATGATCCAGAGAAAGCGGAGGTGTGAGCGGGTGAGAGGGGGAACTTCATTAATATCGTACTCAGTAAAAGTGGCCGTAATACTTCACAGTCGCTGGTCATGGTGGTAATAAATGAAATGGTAGAGAAAAAATATGATAATAATATACGATTACTCAATAAGATGACGGAGGTACAATATGTGACAATAAGGATGTTGATGACGATGACAGCGACTTGGGTGATAAAATATGGTATTTTTATTACATGGACTAATGTCTTGTCACGAGTCATGATACGTACAAGGACATCAACTCACATATAGAAAGTACACAAAGAAACACTCACAAATAATATACATATACACAACATACAAGGACACCAAATCACCTCACACCTAGACATTGCCTCACACATACTCGCGCGCGCTGCATGACCCAGGAGAAAGCAGAAGCAAAGTTTCGTTGCCACTTAAGGACCAGTTTTCAAATCTATTTTTAAAACTTCACTACGCGTTCTCTCACCACTCCGCACTCTCCCACAGGAACGCACAAGATCGTCTGCTCAGAGTCACACGGTCAGAATTATTAGAAAATAGTGAAAGAACGACTCAAATTACTTAAAGAATGGCCATGTTTACACTGCGGGAATTGACGTCCGCGAGTTACTCATCCGGGTACAAAGTCTGTCCTCTCCTTCGCTCTTCCTCTTCTTCCCATCATCCCTCTCCTTCCCATCATTCCTCTCCTTCCCATCATCCCTCCTCTTCCCATCATTCCTCTCCTTCCCATCATCCCTCTCCTTCTCATCATCGCTCTTCCTCTTCTTCCCATCATCCCTCTCCTTCCCATCATTCCTCTCCTTCCCATCATCCCTCCTCTTCCCATCATTCCTCTTCCACCCCTAACGAACAAAGGCTTTTACCACCGTTCCCTGATTTAGGTCACACGTCGACCCTTACTGCTATATGACTCAGTTTTCTACATCTCTTACCCGACGTCCCTAATTTGGCGTGAGTCCCTCTTGACATGTCACCTGTGTTTATGTGTCTTACCCTCTCCTAGTCCCAAAGAATCTTAACTTGTATTATTCATTGGGGCGGGATGGACATTAACACCTCCTCCCCTTCCCCTGTTTATCTTATCCTACGCTACCTGGGGAGGTTAGGTTAAATTAGCGTTAGGGTGGTTAATATTTAGGTGAGATAAGCTTAAGGGGAATAATCTTCAGGTGATCCGAGAAGTTACATCCGGATTTACCAACGTAGCATAAATTCCTGAGATATATAAGCAGTAATATAAATATTCAGTAAAATAAAAAACGTTAAAATCAATGTGTGTTATTTCCAGGTTGTAAATTTTAATATCACGTCACCCCACAAGAAGGTGGCCATTATAGAAAGTTGATATTTAAAGCCCATTTTCTCTTCTAGAAAACCCGACAAGTATACACATACCCGTTGGATGACTGTGATTGGGAGGTGCGCAGGCTGACAGACGGGTGGGTAGGCAGGCAGGCAGGCAGGCGGGTGGGTAGGTAGGTAGGTAGACGGGTGGGTAGGCAGCCGGGTGGGTGGGAAGACAGCCGGGTGGGTGGGAAGGCAGACAGGCAGGCGGGTCTGTAGGCAGGGAGGCGGAGGCAGGCCAAGCGGGCGGGCAGGCAGGCAGGCAGAGTCAACCTGAAACAGGCCTCGTGCATTAGTATTCACACACGGTACTACCCGAGAGAAAGTGCCTCCCTCCTGCAACAAGAAAACGCTAAAAGATCAGGTCACCTAAACCTAGCCTTGGAAGTTTCCCCGATGATAAGAAGTGTGTTGAGGTGACGATGCCTTACAACCTACCGGGATACCAAGCTCTATATTATGTGAGGTACGCTTCCTCCCTTCTTACCTGTACCTGGGACCACTACCACCACCACCACCACTACCTGTTTATACCTGCCCCGACCTTCCCTCACATTTGTTTAACTACACTGTATTGCTCTCTCTCTCTCTCTCTCTCTCTCTCTCTCTCTCTCTCTCTCTCTCTCTCATTTTCTTTCATCTCTCACCATCTTACTGTGTCTTCTACCACCATCTTCACCTTTTTCCTCCCCCAACTCTCTTTCTTTCTCCCCCTCCCTCTCCCTCCCTCCTCTCTTTCTCCCCCCCCCCTCTCTTTCTCAGCAGGGGCACCAACCATGTTTACGCACACAGCATTTGACGGGTCTGTGAAGGCGTAAGGTGTGGCTGTGTATGCCTTACGGTATGTATGTAGTGTGAAGTGTGGCTGACGTAAGTGTGGTTGTAAGGGATTGTGCTGTGACGTGTGGCTGTAAGTGGTTGTGGTGTGAAGTGTGGTTGTAATTGGTTGTGATGTGGCGTAAGTGTGGCTTTATGTGGTTTTGGTGTGAAGTGTGGCTGTAAGAGATTGTGATGTGGCGTAAGTGTGGCTGTAAGGGATTATAATCTTACGTAAGTGTGATTGTAAGTAGTTGTGGTGTGGCGTAAGTGTGGCTGTAAGGGATTGTAATGTGACGTAAGTGTGGTTGTGGTTTGATGTACAGTAGTGGGGGTGTAATTAGGTTAGGTCAGGTTAGGTTAGGTTAGGTTAGGTTAAGTTAGGTTGGGTTAGGTTGGGTTAGGTTAGGTTAGGTTAGGTTAGGTTAGGTTAGGTTAGGTTAGGTTAGGTTAGGTTAGGTTGGGTTAGGGAGCTTCGTGTCGTAGCTGATATCAAAAGTAAGTAGCTACAATTTCTCCTATATTTAGATGTCATCCGTTTCCTATATAACTGCAGTGAGAAATATGATATTACGGTTATTTCCCTCTCTCCTTTCCTACCTCCCCCTCTCCATCCCTCCCTACTCCCCTCTCTCCTTCCCCACCTCCCCTCTCCATCCCTACCTCCTCCATCCCTCCCTCCCTCTCCATCCCTACCTCCCTCCATCCCTCCCCCTCCTCTCCTCTCCTTACCTCCCCCTCTCCATCCCAGCTACATTCCTCACCTCCCTCTCTATCCCTACCTACCTCCCTCTCTCCTCTTCCCCACCTCCCCATCCCTACCTCCCATCCCCCCTACCTCCCCTCTCCATCCCTATCTACCTTCCTCACCTCTGCTCCATCCTCCCTACCTCCTCTCTTCCCCACCCCCTCTTCATCCCCCACTACCCCCTCCTCCCACCTCAAGGTATCCCCTCCAGTTTACCTGTCATTAATTAGTTCCAATAAGTGAAAGCATATACTCATCGTAAGTGAACGTAGTTTAAGGCAAAAAAAAAAACATGAGAATCAATCATTAAAAAAAGTCTTAAGTCTAGTTTTGTGTTACACTGTTCTTCTTAAGTTCTAAATTGTCGCGATAGCATTTACTTGAGTTAGTTAGTTGAGTGAGTTAGTTGAATGAGTTAGTTGAGTGAGTTAGTTGAGTGAGTTAGTTGAGTGAGTTAGTTGAGTGAGTTAGTTGAGTGAGTTAGTTGAGTGAGTTAGTTGAGTGAGTTAGTTGAGTGAGTTAGTTATGAGATAATTTACTGTATATACGTCACCCTCCAGCTCATTGTTGGGGGTGGGGGGGAGGTTATTGTTGGCTGATGGGGCCTGAGTTTTAATGAGGTCCCAAACCACATAGGCCCCTAACCTAACCCAACCCAGCCCAACATAACCTAACCAAACCCAACCAAACCTAACCAAACCAAACCAAACCCAATCTAACCTAACCTAACCACCTTTCACCACACCATACTGAGGTGCGGTCCCGACATACCTCCCCCAACTTTCCACGGTAGCCAAGATGAAATGCAGAAAATTTTATCTGGACTACTGTATAAAAACTTGTACTGGGGAGAGAGAGAGGGGGGGAGGGAAGGAGGGGTGGTGGGGAGGCTGGGAGGTGAGGAGAAGTGTGTGGGGTAGGGGGGTGTGGTGGGGTGGGGGGGGGGAGGGCTTTCTCCTACCAACCAGTTCTCTCGCCCGCCTCTAATAATAATCCCAGTATTTTTTTGGGGGGGTTTTAGAAATCACTCTCTCTTTATTGGTATCTGTGGACGACGTATTTCTTCCTGTTTAATGAAGAGCGAAAAGTGGGAGAAATAAATCCCACAGGAGGGAATAGAGAGAGTAAACAGAGAGAGTTGTTTATGATTTGTGTTTACATGGTGTACGGGTCTCTCTCTCTCTCTCTCTCTCTCTCTCTCTCTCTAAAGTATAAAGGATAAGACACGGTAGGTTAGGTTAGGTTAGGTGGCATCAGGGTTACATTAGGTTAGATGACGTCAGGGTTAGGTTTGGTGATTTCAGGATTAGGTTAGGTGACATCATTCACTCACCGACTCACACTGTCACTGACTAAGTAATCATACCATAACGATTTAATTAAACGAGGTAGTGCAAATGTCAGACAGCATCAGTACCTGAGGAGATGATTTCAATGTTCTAAGGTCAACATCGAAACAGGAGGTGGGAGGGGAAATAGAGGCGGTGGGCAATTAAAATGTCCCCAGGTCACTGTTATTTCAGATTCGAAGATTATTTCGTATTATTATAATTATTTAATATGTTTCAATTATTTTTTTATAATTTCTTGACTCATGCCATGATCCCTCATACAAGAACACTCTGCCATGATGTAAACAAACACATCAGATTACGTTATGTCGCTAATCCAAGTGACATACGGGTTACTATAACGACTTAACCCTAACCTAACAGGCTGTAGAGATGGAGTGTAACAAGTTGTTTTTGTGTTACAGGTGTTAGCGGTGGCGGTGACTGTGACGCACGCCGAGGAGTTGACGCGAGACAAGAGAAGTATTGGCAAATGGTTCTCTGGCCTCTTCAAGGGATGGAAGAAGGAATCAGAGGACGACTATGGTCCACGTCCCATCATCACCGTGCCTGTGCCTCACCCTCGCCCCGTCTACCACCCCCCTGTAGTGAAGCATTACTACAGGCCTCCACCTGTCCACATTAAGCCCACTTACGGTCCACCTCCCCCACGCTATGGTGGCGGAGGTGGCGGAGGCCACTTCGCAGGAGGTCACTTCGCAGGAGGTCACGGAGGTGGCAGCCACTTCACAGGGGGCTTTGGAGGTGGGGGCAACGGAGGTGGTGGGCACGGAGGCGGCGGCCACTTCGCAGGGGGCCATGGAGGTGGCGGCCGCATCAAAGGAGGCCTTGGGGGCGGTGGCCACATCAAAGGAGGCCTTGGGGGCGGTGGCCACATCAAAGGAGGCCATGGAGGCGGTGGCCACATCAAAGGAGGCCATGGAGGCGGTGGCCACGTCAAAGGAGGCCTTGGGGGCGGTGGCCACATCAAAGGAGGCCATGGAGGCGGCGGCCAAATCAAAGGAGGCCATGGAGGCGGCGGCCATGGAGAAGGAATCCCACATGGTTTCGGCCCGGTGAAGCACTCGGATGTGGTTCACTCCGGCGGTGGCTCCTACAGCCCCCCGCCACCCCCCGTTGACAGCTATGCTCCTCCTCCTCCAGTTGACAGCTACGGTCCTCCTCCAGTTGACAGCTACGGTCCTCCTCCAGTTGACAGCTACGGTCCTCCTCCAATTGACAGCTACGGTCCTCCTCCAGTTGACAGCTACGCTCCTCCTCCAGTCGATAATTACGCTCCTCCTCTACCAGGTGATAGCTATAGTGCACCGTCAGTGCCTATCGTACCTGTTGTTCCCCAGGTGTTAGGAGACAGTTACAGTCCACCAGTAGTTCCGGTGGGACCAGTTGTTCCAGACCTGAGTAACGAGTACCGTGCACCGCCGTCTTTCCCCCCACCCATGGCAGCCCATGGCTCTTCTTCCTCTTCCTACCTCGGTTTCCAACCTTCCCAACCCCTTCCTATAGAATCTCTTATTCCGGTGGCGCCAGTTGGACCTCCAGCGCCGCTCTACGACCTTCCTTCCGCATCGGGTGGAGGTGCACTGGGTGGAGGTTCACTGGGTCTAGGTGGTCTGGGTGGAGGTGCACTGGGTCTAGGTGGTCTGGGTGGAGGTGCTCTTGGTGGAGGTGCACTGGGTGGAGGTGCTTTGCCTCCTGCTCAACTTGACATCTTCCCCCCTGGTGGTGATAGTCGAGGAGCGTTCGGTAGTGATGGCAATTTCGAAGTTACTGGGAATTTCGGAGGAGGTGGTGGTTTATTCCCCGTAGATATAACCGACCAATACTCAGCTCCAGCTATTACAGCCCCAGTGACGTTTGAGGCCGAGCTAGGATACGACGATCCCATCATTGAGATTGTATTCGAGGATGGTGACCCCGCTCCTCCACCTCCCCCGCCCATCATCGATCCAGGTGTGTTTTCAATACCGGAAGAACCAGTTGAGGTTTATTTCATTGAGTACTCACCAGGTGATAACATCGATGACATCAAGGGTCTGAATTTAGACGGTGCACAGCCAGGTATCCTGAGTGACCTGCCAAAGGAACTACCCGCTGATGTCCGTTCTCAGCTCTTGGATTCTGGATTGCTGGATGACGCTGATGTTCAAGTTATTAATTTAGAGGATGCCTTAACTCAAAACTATTTAGACAAAGAGACACGAGAGGCTCTGTTGGAGGTGTATGGCTCCGAGAGTCGCCGTGCTGAGAGGAAGGTCGCTGCACCATCAAAGGAGGCCGTCGACGTCAAGGTTCGCCGCCTGGTAGGGGACGACAACACTAGCGAAGGAATTGCTGGGTTAATTTCTGGTCTTGGCAAATTCCGTGAGGGACGTTTCGCTGGAGTTGTGGAAGCTAATGATGAAGATTCGAAAAAATTCCTTCCGGTAGTAGTTGATGGTGCCAAATTACCTTTGCCGGAGGAACTTGACCTAGAAGGACGTGAGGTGGCTGGAGTTCTAGTGCTGGCTTCCGGTGAAAATGACGAATCACCAAAGCCCCCGGCCAATGCCAGCGATCCAGAACACAACCTGGTTGAGTCAGCGTCAACTTTACAGCCTGTGGTGAAGGAACCGGACACCGCCGAAGAGCGAGTGGACCGGCAGTGGAATGGCGACCCTAATGGGTGGCGCCCCATCTGGAACTGATCCACCAGCCAGCAAGCCTCCCGGACTTGACCTGCCCACTCCCTCTCCATCTGCTCTGGAATGTTCTTGCTTCCTCCTGAGAATCAACTTCTCAAGACTTGGAATCGTTAGATTATAATTATACAGACTGTGACTCTTTATCTAAATTAAAATTCTTCGTCTGGCAAGCGGGCACATCCCCAGCCGACGCATCTCGTGACTCAGCTGTCGTCAATTTCCACATTTCGTAGCGAGGGCATTGCCCTCACCAAAGAAAACAAATAATTTTGTGAAATATCTTTCTTTCGAGTTGTCGAGTGATGCGTAGCTTTACTCTACTGAATCATGCTGTACATATTGCTGTCTTAGTTTTAATGAACATATCTTGAATAGGTTTAAGGTTGTTTTTAGTCAGGGTAAAATCTTATGTTTTCAAGCTAAACTACAGGATATAAAGTGTCCCTACATCTCAGGATCATCACAATAGTGTGTACATACTGCCTGCTGAACTTCTGGACCAGTTATTATACTTTACGAAATGTTTAAGCAAATTCTTGGTTGTGTCTCAGATGCTGATAATAAGACAGGTGATGTCTGAGCCTCAAGTGGTGTCGTGTGTTGTCTCTTTAGTTAGAATATTTATGTACTTATCCCTGTTGCCTTTTACCTGTACAATGTTGCTCAAGTGACCACAACTTTCTGCAGGCAGAAAAAATAATCAGCATCTTTATCTAGAATGTTTCTCGTGTGCAGATATTTTATTGTACAGTAATTTAATAAATAAAACTAAAACTGCCTAAGATTTTGTTTATCCAAAACCCTTCGTATAACCATTTACCTCCGGTGGTCCTGTTTTTCTTATTGTGACTAAATTTTAGATGCCTGTCAAGATGATGACGTCACCTTACAGTAAACATTGTAGATATACAAGAGACTTTGCCCTCCACACACACACACGAGATTTGCTCACATTCACTACCAACTTCCTCTAAGTATGTTCTCCTTCAAACACCTTCACTAATATCTGTAACTCTGTTCATTCGTCAAATAGAGCTGTGTCACCAACAAACAGCAGCTGAACCATCCGCCAAATTATATCCCATAATCCTGACTCGAGTGATCTTACACGTCTCTGAAGAAGCCGCCATTTTCACTCGCAACTGGTTTTCTCTTTCTGATAACCTCTTAACATATACGTCACCTTACATACAAATATTATATACTTCTATAAATAACGAAGTTTAATTTTCCTTTAAATATAGCAACTGAAATGATAAATAAATTACACCAGAACGTTATATTCCGTGTCTTTATTAGCGACTCAGCCAATGTTACTGTCATTCCGCTGGACTATACATCTTGCTCTATGTAGCCCAAGAGACCAGTATATAGGCCACTGTGTCACTGGTAAGACAAAGAAAAAAATTGGTACACCACACAGCAGGAAGTCAAGGCTGGGTCCAAGCTACTTAGGATTAGTCACCCTTGGGCCGACTGCCGACGGGTTTAACGTTACCATTCGCTTATTTTTCACTTTTCTAATAAAATGTATTACATACTTTCTAATCAGGTGTCTTATATAACCAAAGACACCTTATGATTCTGCCTAAGCCAAATACAATGTTGTTTTGCACCTTACACACATTACAATCAAGTGACAAACTCTTCCTCCAGGCTAATATACAATACACCCTGAAGAAAAACAAAAAATAGCAATTAACTATAAACTTATTTTTTTTTTTACCCAAAATTTACATTTCTAAATAATTAAAAAAAAATATAATATAAAATCCAGGGCAATCCAGTAACTAGGAAAATGTGGGAAAATAAAATCAGTCATCTAACATTTTTATGCCATTGTTAAAACCGTCCAGGGAATTTTGTAAACAACTATATATCATTATCTTCGTGAATGCCAAAGAGCAACAAGACAAGTATTGTAGACCAACAGTAGTAGCCAAGACCATACAGTAACCCTAACAAACAGACAAATATCATACGGGTCAAATTGAGTCAGTCTTAACCATGTAGTTTCTTAATACATCATCTGTAACCCTGAATTACCCTTTAACTTTGTTATGTATCGATTAATATACGGGGTGATTAAAAAGTCCCAGTGCACCTGAAATAAATAGTTGTTCCATGTTAAGCCTACAGCAATATACCTTGTTCTAGTGGCGGTAAATATTAAAAATGATTAATAATTCCAACATCTACTAAAGTATCCGATCAAAAGTAGGCGTCAGGGTAGGCGTGCAGGTGGTGGTGGTAGCAGTGGTGGGGTGGTGGTGGTAGTGGTGGTAGTAGTAGTGGTGGTGATGGGGGAGGGTAGGAAGGATAGTTTCTAAAACCTCCCTCAAGGGCGTCTCTGTACCTGACAACTCGACTCACGCTTAATAACATTGTCGCCTCTATCACCAAAAGACCATAAAAAAGATGATCTGTAGTTTACGCTTGATAAATGCTTGCAGTAAAAGACAAAGGAAGTGGTACTCAACCCTGAATATGCTGACGAAAGTATCAAGGAGAGAAAAGATAAAACACCTAATAAACATAAACACAGGATCTTGTTTGGTTGTTGCTCTGCTCGTCCTTCCTCCTGGGTTCCTGTTATGAGCTACAGGAGATAATCTAAAACATTAGGGGGTTTTTTCCCCCCAGAAGAGATCAACGAGAGGAGAAACAAGCGCCTTCCACCACGACCATGATACTAGTTTACGCAGCACCTTGCCATCACCTCTGTCAATACATGTAAAATATTCCTCCCCGATTATCCCAGAGCGGTACAAGCCGTATCCGAAACCCTACTGTACACCTTAAAAGAATAAAAGAATATCCATGGATTAATTTCTGTTTGTTTCACTCACCAATGGAAATGACTGACTGAGTAGAAAGAAATGTGAGGATATTTTAGATACAATTATTTCTCTCTTTGTCGGACTTAGTGGTGAAGGAGGAGTGTGACAGACTTCATGTATGGATGATAGCTGTCAGCGCTCACGATGAAGGGTAACTGTCAGCACTTATGTACGTTTCGTTGATGGTGTCGACGATGTAGTGTTCAACGGGTGAGGAGACAGACGTGTTGAGTGGAGCATGTGGACAGTGATGGCAGGAGGAGTTGGTGTGAGGCACTAGTGAAGGCTGTTTGTTGACGGTAAAGTGCTGGGATACAGGAACCGGAGGCGGGGGCGGGGGCGGGGGAGAAGTGTTTTCTCCACATGTTGGTGTCACAACAGCACGCCTACAACGCTCACCGATCCGACCTCTACATTCCCATGATTCTGTCAAACACATAGATTACACATATAAACCCTATATTATAATAGTCAAATAACCTTAACATTAGACACCCGAGCTTACTTCATTTGATTATTTACTATTTACCATCCTAACGATACCTGAGGGAGGGGAGAGGGGGGTTAGGTTAGCGTTAGGTTGGTTAATCTTCGGGTGAAATATGCTGGGCTGCTTAATCTTCAGGTAATCTTTATAGTCTATATTTCATTTTAATGAGAAGGAAGGATTACGTGACGGAAAAGATGCTGATGAGTGATGCTTAGTGTGAAGCATCTGGGGGGTGGGGGGGGGGCGGGTGGAGGCATCCTGCATTAAACTTGTAATAGCGTGAAAACGTTAAAAAAGACCCAACCAAATTACATCATCCTCGCGACAACAACACACGCTAACACTCACTGAAGGACTTTGGTGGTGGAGGTTTGGTGGGGTCAGGAAACATCTCTTCGTAGTTATCGTAGATTTTGGTTAGTCTACGATGCGGCACCGTCCTGAACCCGTACTTGGAGGCTTTGAGTGGGTGGTGGTGCAGTGGGAGCAACGCCGTGGCCAGTTCTTGGTTCTCCACGTGGTACATTGACCAGGACCTACGTATGGACGGTAAGTTGGTATTGGGGGCTTGTGTGGTGGGTAAGAGATGGGCATTAAATACTTGTGTAGTGGGCATCAAATGAGTACCGGTATCTAGAGCCTGTGTGGCGACCAAGAGATGGGAATCAGTGACATGTAAGGTGGGCATAAACTTGGGACACATGGTTTGTGTGGTGGTATGCCTACGGGAGTCAGTTGGTGATGGGGGAGCCACAAAGACGAAGGCGGAGGATAGTCTGCTTCTGCCATCGTCGGCCGGGGCGTGGTGCAGGGAGGACGGTGGCGTCATCCTGCGCATCACACCCTGTTGCTTCTTCAGCCTCTGCACAACACACAAACATTGTCAAGTAGTACTGTACCTCCAGAAAACACAAGAGATGAAGAATCTGTCCTTAATAGATAAAGGGGCAGTGTCCTTAATAGACAAAGGGACAGTGTCTTTAATAGATAAAGGGACAGTGTCTATAATAGATAAAGGGACAGTGTCCTTAATAGATAAAGGGGCAGTGTCCTTAATAAAGGGACAGTGTCCTTAGTAGATAAAGGGGTGCCTAATCTTCAGGTGATTCCCCTCGTCAATTTACTGTACTGTACATGGCACACAATATGCATCTGCACTTACATATTGTTATTTTGGAAAGCTTCATCAGGTATATTTCTCAAGCCAATACTTATCAACCTACAGGAGAGGACAGTATGTTTTTATGTAGGAACAGTATATTATGATGACTTCAGAACACCTCGTGTCTTGGAGTGTGTATGAGTGTCAGTGACTGTGTTTGAGTGACTGTGTATGAGTCAGTGTGTATGAGAGTCAGTGTGTATGAGAGTCAGTGTGTATGAGAGTCAGTGTGTATGAGTGTCAGTGTGTATGAGTGTGTATGCTTGAATAAGTAGACGTGTATGAGTACCTTGATATAGCAGAGGGACCGACAATACAGCACCAGGAACATGGTCACCAAGACGCCCATGATCGGCAGTGTCACGGACAGTATCGTCGTGTCTACAGACAAACACACATGCATACAATATACCACATCATCATCATTACCATCTTCATCGTTACCATCATCATATTGGTATCATCATGAAATACGAAACTGGTTAATCTACAGTACCAAAATGCTCTGATATTTGACTATGGGCATTCGTGATTCTCTAATAAACGTATTTACTGACCTGGACATTATATATATATATATATATATATATATATATATATATATATATATATATATATATATATATATATATATATATATATATATATATATATATATATATATAAGTGTTACACAGTGCATAAGTGTTAACACAGCCCTCACCATTAGCCATGATGGCGGAGGAGTACCACAGGAGTCACACCACACGTCAGCAAGCAAAGAGCCACCACACGTCAGGTAGTGAGGTGTCACCATACATCAGCCAGCAAGGAGTCACCACACGTCAAGCTGTGAGGTGTCACAACACGTCAGCCAGCGAGGAGGAGTCACCACACGTCAGCCAGCGAGGAGTCACCACCCGTCAGCTAGTGAGGAATCACCACAAATCCCTCTCCTCACCATACAACAACTGAAGCACTTCTGGGCCACCTCAGCCGACCTCCTCGACTCTCACTATCACTACCGTGCACCTCACTTCCTTCCTCACCACACCAACATCCGATATGACAAGTGAGTATTGTTCTTTACACGAGGTACTGAGAACGCACATCCTGAGTACTGTAACACTGATAACATTTGTTTTATGATATAATTTTCCTCATTACCTAGTCTGTATACTCTTGTGTTTATTCTGAGAAATAAACACCAAAAACAAATGTGCAGACCAGGTTTTGTCAAATAAAGGTTATTAGGACTTCCTGTGGAAATCTACAAGATAATTAATCCTCAAATATCGAGACATGACGAGGAAGTTCTCAGATAAGAGATGTGAAGAGTAAAGGAGAATCATTGGAGTAGTGAGGAGAGTGGCTGCAGCAGGAGAGGATGAGTGCTGTGAGGGTGTTTGACTGCTGAATATAAACAATAGTATCCTCCTTCAGCGGATGTATGCCGGCAAAACTCGAACGCTAAATGAAAGATTCTTTTATAGACGTATTTTTTTAAATCATAGTTAAGTCACGAAGCAAATATTTAGAAAACCTCATGCAACTTCCCCACCTTCTCTGGCTCTTTAAACTTAATTACGAATTTATCTACCGTAAGACGAAGATATTATTGTTTTATATAAAAGAACAGCCCTTTAATATACGCTAGAAGAGCAATGTACAGTATACATTTATCTAAACCAGAGTAAGCATTCGTAAATATTAAAAAAAAAAAAACATTTCATTATTCACTGTATTGATAATGATAAAAATTCAACAGAGATCTTACATCTTATTGGTCATTGCAGTTAGTTACATACTACAGTGCGCAAAATTGTCCCACACGTTCACAGTTCACACTGGTTCAGCGTGTACAGTACAACGGAGATATACTGTACAGTGGCAAACATTTGATTCGGGTAAAGATTTATATCACTTAGTGGAGCTACCTGACCAAAATGGAAATTTATATCTATTACGTGTATACTTTATGTTAATGATAGAATGTATTAACTGGGCCAAATTTACTGCTTCCATGTACATATGAACAAACATTCTTATTGTAGATTCTTTAGTCACTGCATAATAATTTTCTGGTGAACGTTTTCTGTGAAAGATTAAGTGGATCGTGTTTTGTGAAATCTTTGTTGGAGGACTGACTTTTATATTATGGGTTGTGGCCAGTCAATTGAATATCGCTTACTTTGAAACCTTTCTATTGTAGATACTAAAACTAATGTAAATTGGACTTGAAAGAACTAAAAAAATCCAAGGATTACATTTTCAACTGCTCATGATGTTTGATTCTTGAGAACAAATAACATTTACTTAAAATAGCCATCTAATGTAAAAACAAAACTTGCTTGAAAAGACGAAGGTGGAGAACTCGTTTTGTTACTCGAGAGACTTAAAGTGTTGTAAATAACCAATATATTTATACAGTAGACTAACAGGTGGTGAAGGTGATAGATATAATGTTTTGATGTGATTAGAGCGATGTACAAATTCCCAGAAGAATTTACCTGACTATTTATGCACTAATGAAAAAAAAAATGACAGAGGGACGTAAAACACTTCAGAAGTCTATTGTATCTAATTAGTCTGGTAATGATGAGTAAGACATGTCAGTTCCATGATCTCTCAGTCTTCTACCTCCCCAGCTGTCTGGGTTTTGTTTCATCTTAAGGATTAGCTTCGTCACATGATGGCCTTAATACATAAAAGTTACAAATGTTTATATCAGCGACGCCTGGTCCTTGAGTATCTGTACCCCATAAACACATGTAATTTTTAACATTAATATCTTCCATAACTTCAAATAACGCTAGAGTTGTTATTAAATATCAAATTCAAGTCGTAATGCAGAAATTCCAAACAGAAGCATAGGTCTGGTACTGTGCACTAACACATGCTCAGAACATCAACTGGCGTATGGAAACGATCTAAGAGCAGTCTATCTATCACCACTTGCTATTGAATGACCATAAGTACAGAAGTACAAACGGACAGACACGACATAGCAAAATGAGTACATAGTGTGTGTGGTTGTGTGTGTACCCGACTCCACACTACCGACTGGAGAAACAGAAAGTTGCAGTGGCTGTGATTTTATATTTATCAACCTCCACCATAAAGAGCTACGAATTCCTGAGCGTACGTAGAGCGCAACTGAACGCAGCCCTGGTAATCTTTCAGAGTTCCTAGATTTGACCAGGTTTGAGATATAACAATGAAATGTGGGTTGCCGTCACCGTAGAGTTATATCACCTGCAGGCATTTACTGTATGTGTGACGCCAGAGCGAGTCAAAGGTCACCACTGTTGCTTTAGTGAGGTTATAGTTTAAAGATTTATATATGTCAAGTCTTATTATATTGTTCCGAGTGTTGATTACGGCAGTCATGCAAATCGTTGCTTAGTCCACCTGATGTTTTGCTGTCAGACCCTTATGAGTACCAAGTGTTGTACTCATGGGTTAGTTATATACACCAAAGAGTTTTATCTGATTGTTTTTAATGTTGTTAGAGTAGTTTAATTATTAACCCTGTTACGCGCTTCAAGACCTTCGTTGTTAAAGCGCAGTAATAACACTATAACAAAAACTTACTTATGTGGCTCTTGTGTAATAGGTGATCTTTTTCATGCAATGTATACTGTGAAATAAGAATAGCAAGGTATGGCAGTACAGCAGGAAGTATCAGTAATGTAAGGTGTTGTCAATAAAGCAGACTGCAAGAGTATGGATGGGTAACACAGAAGGCAGCAAGAGTATGGATGGGTAACACAGAAGGCAGTAAGAGTATGGATGGGTAACACAGAAGGCAGTAAGAGTATGGATGGGTAACACAGAAGGCAGCAAGAGTATGGATGGGTAACACAGAAGGCAGTAAGAGTATGGATGGGTAACACAGAAGGCAGTAAGAGTATGGATGGGTAACACAGAAGGCAGTAAGAGTATGGATGGGTAACACAGAAGGCAGTAAGAGTATGGATGGGTAACACAGAAGGCAGCAAGAGTAATTATATGGATGGGTAACACAGAAGGCAGTAAGAGTATGGATGGGTAACAGAAGGCAGAAGCAGTAGAGTATGGATGGGTAACACAGAAGGCAGTAAGAGTATGGATGGGTAACACAGAAGGCAGTAGTATGGATGGGTAACACAGCAAGAGTATGGATGGGTAAACACAGAGGCAGTAAGAGTATGGATGGGTAACACAGAAGGCAGCAAGAGTATGGATGGGTAACACAGAAGGCAGTAAGAGTATGGATGGGTAACACAGAAGGCAGTAAGAGTATGGATGGGTAACACAGAAGGCAGTAAGAGTATGGATGGGTAACACAGAAGGCAGTAAGAGTATGGATGGGTAACACAGAAGGCAGTAAGAGTATGGATGGGTAACACAGAAGGCAGTAAGAGTATGGATGGGTAACACAGAAGGCAGTAAGAGTATGGATGGGTAACACAGAAGGCAGTAAGAGTATGGATGGGTAACACAGAAGGCAGTAAGAGTATGGATGGGTAACACAGAAGGCAGCAAGAGTATGGATGGGTAACACAGAAGGCAGTAAGAGTATGGATGGGTAACACAGAAGGCAGCAAGAGTATGGATGGGTAACACAGAAGGCAGCAAGAGTATGGATGGGTAACACAGAAGGCAGTAAGAGTATGGATGGGTAACACAGAAGGCAGCAAGAGTATGGATGGGTAACACAGAAGGCAGCAAGAGTATGGATG